CCCCCCCCCAAATCATCGGTGAGCGAAACTGTGGCAGCTACAACCACTGTACGACGGGCATGCGGTTCTTACAGCTGACAATGATGATGATGATGATGATGATGATGATGATGACCTTATCTGTTATAGTTTGACGCTTGACATAGGCCACCAAGGTGAAATTCTACCGTATTTTTCAGAGTTTAGATCAGGAACATCTCCCGGGGGGGCGAGAACGTTCATTCAAGCAACAGAGGGTTCTAGCACCGTGGTGGTCAGTTGTGGGTTTGTTATCACCCCCACAAGCCTTGGAAGATCTTAAAGCATAATGCAGATGTACGTCCCATTAGCATTTTTTTTCTGCCTGCTCGTGGATGGTCGTGTGAATTTATTGTCAACAACAATAACAACACCAAAGTGGAACACTTGTATCCCCTTTTGTACTTCATTCTGGTAAATTGGGTTGACTCCAGACAATTGCTGCAACCATACTTGAAACTATTTTGGCACCAAATAAGTGTGTTGATCTCATTTCGTGATGTGAGACAAGACAGGAGCAATAGCTTATGGAATTACGACAAGTTGTGCTCAGATGCTGTGCCTCTGTCTAATCGTTAAATTTAGACCGACAGAAGTAAAAAATATCACTTACAGTACATCCGCCCATGTATGAATAGACAAAGAATATCTCTTGCCTAAATGTCTTTGAGGATGATAGCTGCAAAGTAGTTTGAAGCATCGCAAGCCTTTTTGTAGATTTTGGTTGTCTGAAGGTGCGTAGAGTGAGTGGCTTCCCGCTCCCTGCCTTCATACTCATGAACTAGGAACGAGAAGTTCGGGCGCATGGGCCAGAAAACAGCTAACTCTTGAGTCTTTCCGTCGAACTTCTGCTCTCTAAATAGGTGCCCTATCGACTTAAATTCCGAGGCTGTTTCGTCTCCACCCCACCTACTCTCTTCATATCCGACAGACCTCTGCCCCTCAGCGTCGTTGATGATCCCTATGTGTGATTTCCACAACGGTCCCGTCCATCCTGATACGCAAAGCGTCCTGATGGAAATTGTTGGAAAGTAAAATAGGATATGATGGATTTGGTGGTGATAGATCCAAGTACACATAATCTGAGCGAAAAAAGGCCCTGGCTGGTAAACTTACCACAGATTTCCCGCTTTCCGGACGTCTACTTTGCCATCTTTTCTCATACATGTGCATTTAGGCCCCGCAACTGATTTGTCTCTTCTACTCAATCCACACGAAAGCTCTTCTGTTGTCTAGGTAATGTCGACCTCTTGCTCATTATGAATGTCATTTGAGGAAGTCACCATTCGCATTAACGGATATCGACTGTCAACCAACTAGGCAAAGTTGTAACGTATCAGCTTTAGATTCAAGTGCGTAATTATGATGGGGGGTAAGCGTCTTTGGTTGATCAGTCGGTTGTACACCAGTCCACTAGGCTGTAAGTAGGTGATTCGAGTCAGTTTCCAAGCGCGTTTTTTCACTCATGCCACATGTACTCATCTCGAAGCACACGAATATGTCTGGACGTTTTTTCTACTTCTTTGTTCAAGCCTACTGAGCCAAATTGAAATCGCCTTCAGTTCACCTTCACCTTGTTTCAGGCTTGGTCTCTCACGTAATATGGGTGTACCCATCGTGGCGCCGTGATTCTCTTCCTGATTTGCACACTGTGACCAAGTTCGAATTGGGGATTGCGAGTATCAGCTTCGCTGATGCTGTTCCCTCTGTACGGTCAGATTCCCAGATTTCGGAGCATCGTCGTCGATCGCTGTCGAAAGATAATCCTCGGGCAGATAATGATCACTCGGAACTCACTACCCTCTGCCTTTGTCCCAGTTCTGGATCTCCGTGTACTTTGCCGCTTTTATATTCGGTATGTTGTCCGCATATCCTTCACAGCTGTTTTTTATCATATTTTGCCAGCTTTCATTGATCACCTAACCCCTGTTTTCAGTCGGCATCGACATGAAGCAACTCTGTTAGTCGTGCCTAATACTCCCAACCGTCCACACCAACTGGTCTTTCTGTGACGTCAAACAGTTCATGGCCAGTTGGCTCTTGGGAGTCACCGCTTTCATGGACCTGCTTACCAGCCGACACTGAAAGTAGGAATACGAAGTGCTACGAAACACCTTAATCCCCATGTCACTCAACATTCATTGGCGAATGAACCGAAACTGTCGACTCGATGCAAGGTCACGACAGCTTCTAGTCACACATCACAAGCATGCCATACTATTTCGCTACTAGTGGTATGTCCGCCGGATCCCAATGAAAAATCATTCTTCGTGCCCATACATAGAATAAAATCCTTCGATTTAGTAGTTGGTTCACCGAGACTGACCACTGTGACCTCATCTCTTGATTGCTCTTTCTAGGGTCTTTATGTATATAATTAATCAGAGTAATTTACTTTCGATTCCAGGACCACCCTTCTTAGTCGAATTTTAACGAATACTTTACCCACCTAATATCCGAAATCCACTGCATTTCCTATGCTAAACTGGACTTCGCGGTCATCTGTAAAATTCAAACTCGCAAAACTCCGTTTCCTACCCTCAACCGGAAATATCCTGCTTGGTGAAAACGAATTTTCGCTGATCTGTGACTTGGTGAATCTGATTGGACAGTGTCCATCGAGGAAGAGATATTGGATGGATGAAACAATGAAAACTGTCACCTAAAGCAGATGGAAGTCACTAATTATCAAGAGTTAGTTCTGATAGAAAAACACTCAAGTAATCGCCAAAGTGATTGAGCGTTTGGACTTGTAGACATAAAGTATCCGTTGCCACATGCTTCGAAGCACTATGAAGGGTCACTGTGGGACGGTCAGTGAGAAAGATCCGCCTAGCATGCATTGTATATAGTGTCCCTTCTGAATATATCAATGGCTGGAATGGACAGTACTGAGGTCGTGCTCTCTAGGTTTACTAGTAAGTTCCTGCTTGGTGCTAATCAATCGCTAAAAATGTATCGGTCACCTTTTCCCCGTACCATTGGCAACTTGTGTCTTGTTCAGCAAGGTGGTTGCAGGGCTACACATAAGGTCAGTGAGATTTCTGGACAGGCCACTTCCGGCTTCTTTGTGTTCACCAAACAGCTGAGTCAACCCTAAATCAATTTACAAATGAGTGGTCCTCGTAACATGTGTACAGTTTTGTGTTCAAGTAGGAAATCAGGATGACTGAGAATAGTAGGATAGGACGCTAAGCCTACCTACCGAACCCGTTAATGAGCTATCCAAATTTTTAATCGACCTTATGAATACTATTAAAGTATACTTCGATGTCTTGAAGATCCTCCCAACTGGGGCATGAGGCGCCCCTTGTACAGTATATTCAGTCAGATAATATCGAACTGGTACTCCGTTCCATTGAATTAGATTGTTTGATTTAGCCACAACATGGAAAAGGCCATATATCGCAATACTTCACCCTCAGGGAGCTTTTATCAATTGAATCTAAACACAGTTACGTTGTGAAAAATACATCCGGCGTGGATGAGGAAACAGACGATCAGGACACGTCTGAGAACAAATGTTTTTGGTTGTGACGGGGTCATCGGTTGCACTGTTGGGTTAGAAAATGTAGTTTAAAGTTAAGACAGACATCCTTAGTTTTTAACGAAAGATTGTGTGTGTATGGTCAGTGAATCTGTTCCTAGTGGGCCTCACAAGACATTTGGCAATGTTGAGCCATCTTGCCATTCCGCCATGTTGGCTTTACTAGCGTTTATTACGCCCCATGAAAAGGCGTCCCTTTCACTTTGGAAATCCACGTCTCATCCTCGTCGGATTCGTAAAGTACACTCGATGGTATATAGGAATGACATGCCCCATCCCTAAATCGTGCTCCGACTTCTCCAGGCTCATCGCGTCTCTCGGATGTCGCTTTTAGACTAATGTTCTCATCTTTGGATACGTACATCTAGTTATCACGCCGTTTATCCACATACACAAAAAGTCCACCTGTTCCCATAGCTGCTGTGGGGCTTTAAAGCAGTCAGGGTTTCTCCTCGCTCTTCCTCTTACAAACCATGATTAATCGCTCTGAAGTACGAGTCTTTTCTTCTTGGACTACTGCCTCTGCTGGTTTTGATGCGCAGTTCATCGTTCATTGCTGTCTCTGTTTTTCGCAGTTCAATCTAGACATCCCGCCGGAGACTTGTTCCAGAAATGTAACCGTTGTATTCGAACAGGTTATTGACCTAATTGTCGAGTCGAAGTTGGTGCAAACCACGCAGCCAAGCGACACAAAACACAACCAGTTGTTTCAAAGTCTCTTTACTAAATGGAGGTCTGTCTCCATGGACCATCAGACGACAGAGCAACCCTGGCCACTCAACTCCCGTTTCAACTTCGACCAATGGCCAATCGTGTTCCTGTTCGAAGCAAACTATTTTGGATCGAATCAACCAGAATCACGGCCGGTTTTGGTTCCTCCATCATCCGCGCTTATTACAGTAAGTGTGGTTTTTATCTATTTTGTGACAGGGTCCACGTGACTGATACTTTTGTGAGCACAGTAACTTCCCCAAGGGTGAGCTATCATGAGGAAATGGACGCCAGTCTCCGTTGAAGAGGGCAGCCTTAATTCGCGATAGATGTCACTCTAGTTCGAATCTGATGTAGGCTTTCCTTTTGTGCTCTCCAGTGGGATGACCTCTCTAGAGAAGTCCCTTTTACTTCGCTGTGCACTGTGGCCTCTCTTGACCTACCAAACACATGCATTCATGTTCTTGATCTTCTGATGTCACCTGTCATCGAAGGGGTAACGGTAATTTATTTGAGGTGAATGTTGGTAGTCCCAGTTGCAACGATAGCCGTTGATTGGTCCGCTGAGCTGGACAGCTTGATAGCAAACGACCCATCACCGATGGCGGCTGCATCATCGGTGCCTTGTAACTGAAAGAGCTTGGATATTGTGCTTGCATAGATTGCTACGGATTCCACTCACCTAGGCTGGTTTTGGTGTACATATGGTGTTCGGGCTGAAATAATATCCTCTCTGTTAGAAGAAATTCCAGTTTTATTTGGTCCCAATTCTCACCATGAAACCCTTTTCAGGGACAAAAACCCTGCATACTCGATTGAGGGTCAACTAACACAGTTGCCGTATAGGATAGAAATTTTCACTACCCGAACTCTCCGAACAGACTTTTGATAGGTGTTACTCAACAACGACCACTCCGTAAGGACAACATCAACAGCTTCACTCAGAATTGAGCACTTGAGCACATCGGCTCTTTGTCATTTTGTCAAGTACACCATCAATCCTTCAATATGCCTTTCTGAGGCAGGATGACCCTCGACGTGTCAGCTGCATCTTGTACGACTGTGTTGCATACACGTTTGCTCCACAAGATGTGGCCTCAGCCCGTGGTCGACGGTTGTGACAGTTTTTGCCCCTTTAACCGTCAAGTTGTACTGGGACTCGTCCCGACGATATTATTATTATTATTATTATTATTATTATTATTATTATTATTCTGGGTAGGCTATCAAGGTAAACTTCTGACCCCTAGTTGGGGGCTAGAACATGCGCGACAACTTTCTCCTCGGAACTTGGAGTCATCTGATAGTCCCACGCCAACCACTGCTGTCTTATGGTCCTAATCTTTGACTGGCGGCCCTTATTGTCCTCCTGTCTTGGTTTGGGCAGTGTCTCAGCATGCATACATATAATTCACGCTAAATTAGCCATCATGTTGTGCCGTCAGTCGGGTCGCCTTGCTACATATTGTATGGCAGTTGAGCTGCTGACCCGTCCCTTCTTTCTTTACCATAACCCTCGTCCCCTCATTTAATGGGCATTCTTCCATAGATCCCAGGTGTGGATGGGCCAGTCGTGAACCGAAGGAAGTGACCAATAATACGCCACTGCTTACCCAGTTGTCCGCATTTAGTTTTCAGGCCTGTTCCCCTGTTTTCCGTGGACTCTTTTACGTTCAGATTCTCGGGCAAATCGACCCGAAGTCCGCTGTTGCATTCACATGTGATAGTTTATTGGTAAATGTACGCTGTGTTCCGCATACACCATGCGATGTATTGCAATCTGTGCAAAACTTGAAAATGTTTAATGCAGTTCGCTTAATCTGCACTCGTTAGTCAGCCAAATATACGTAAAATGCTGTTTTTTACCTTGTCTCGCCTTGCCCAGGTGAGTCCACATATGCCGCCCTTCTCTCTCACACTGTAAGGCCTAACTGTCTCTCATTTATGATATTCTCCTAAGTTCGTTGCATAAAAGATGCCCAAAGTTTCAATTCATCGTCTCGCAATATATTTTCCTGGTTGCCCCCTACCACTTTCATCCATATTGGGGCTCATCAAATGGACGTAATCACAGCACATTCATTTGGAGGATATCTTAATCGAGCGATACATTGGAGTGACAAATGAGTGTCTGATCCAGTGTTTTCTGATAATGGGTAATTGCAACAAGTTATGGATGCATTCGCACATCTGAAAGGTGATTTTTCATAAACCTGTCTTATACGGTCATTGATTTTCAACGCGGAATCCGAAATGCAATTCAGTTCAGTTATTTGAGTTTGTTAAAGTGATGAGTTTGATTTCAGCAAGGCGGGGTAACAGACGTAACTGCGGGGCAGCCCTACCAAACCGGTAAAGTACAAGTGACAGATCAGGCAAGTGCCTCTGCCTGATCTGTTACTGAAACAATTTTCAACTCCATGCTATGACAGAGGAACCTGAGGACAACCGACAAATTATCTCGAGTGAAGGTTACTCCGCTCACCGGTCGCGTGAAAAATCCAAATGAAGGAGACCATCGAAAATGGATGCTTGAAGATGAGTAATAACCCACTGTCTCCTATTCGAACAGCACTTCATATGACTTCGTACCCGAATTTCCGATCGAATTTTCTTCTACCTGGGGAAGAATAAGTTGGATTTTGTGATGTTTAGACCTACTGCCGCACCGGAATCGTAATTGTCAGCTTCTCTCTACAGTTTGGGAGCACAGCAAGCTGTCCACCTTTCACCTGTCAGGATCGGTCTGCTTATTTCGCCCAGTTAACCGATCATCCGACCCATACGTTGCATTCTGGTACGAGTATGCACCCGTAAATACCTGTGTTTGAGGCACGCACCATTGCGTTGGAATCAATAGATGTCGCTCTCTTCGAGTTTGTGGATGTGACATGCAAGTGCAAACCACGACCTCAATCCTGCTATCCCTCGGACACGACAGCCCACCAGTGCAACTGAGTTAGGAATGCGCAGTGCACTTGATGTTGTATAGGCAGACTGGTTGAGCTGGGACAAGCGGAATGCTGACTTAGCGGTGGGCGCGCACGAACCAGTGTAGTAGCTGGCCGCCCGCCAACCGGGCAGCGATGGTCTCCATGTACCATCAAGACGGGACAGCCAAATGTCGGCTTTCCATATTGTACCAGCGGAAAGAAATGTTTTCTCTTAAACTGCAAGCGTTTGCAGGCAGTACCCTGCAATTCCAGGAGAAATTATTGGGTAAGCCGCAGCATAGTTCACTAGTAAATTTGCACCATTTTACTCTCCCCAGGAAACTTCAAAGGCTTTTTCTCAACTCCACTGTACTATAGAAATGTAATCTGCTGAATATGAAACTATGCAGTCTTCTTCTTCGGCCTCTGTAGAAACTTTTGCATTGTCATCAGATCCATAACATGATCGAAAAGGAAAGCTTGAAGCTTCTATTGACTGACCGTCCCAACTTTCGCTATATCCTACGGCGATGACCTACATTTTGGAGCTGCTGTTAAACGAGGTCTGGTAGTGGCTTATACCAGGCATATTGGAAAGAATTAGGCTGTAGTGAAACGTGCCAAATTATCCGCATTAGGACACCTGGGCCATTCTTCACTTGATAGGGTGAATTAGCATGAAGGCCTAATTACTACTTTCGAAATTTTCGACGCTCGTACGAAGATGAGCCTCGTCAGCGTTTTTGTCTCTCGCACTGCAACTAGCCTGAGATAGTTCAACTGAACGGTGGTTTAAGCAACGGCAATAGACGATTGATGAACAATGTTCCTTTCGCTGCAGGACGCTGCTCACAGAATTAGACTTGGTCATTGGTAACTTGAGGCCTGAGTTGCTTACTACACAACTCGTCCACCTTCTGATTTGAATTTTCGCGCGTAGCAGATGAGAAACCTTCTCGCCAGATTTAGGTCAACTATACTCTAGAGTAGCAAAGCCCAGCAAAACTTCTTTTAGAGCACCCGTCGACTTTACGTTTACATGATATTTAGCACCAGAATAGCAACCAGTGTCCTTCTCTCTGTGAATCGTTTGGGTATTCAATCGTAAACCGTGAGACATGATGCAGTGGTTCCCGCTGCTGCAGTTTCGTTCACCGAGGGTAGGTTGTTTGAGGTTTCCTCCCCTCCAGTTCCATGGATGACTGTCTGCCGTGTCGTCCTGGATACGCTTGCAGTCCATCGAAAGCGATCGATTGTCCGGTTGGCGGGCTCAGTTGTCTGTCTAGACTCGATGCTAGGTCAGCCTACTGTTTGGTCCAGTTCAGCCATTTCCCAAGGTGAGCCGAAATGCAGTACATTTTGGGTCGTCTGGTTTGATTGCACCGTCGTGCCCGAGCGACAGGAGCATCGAGCTCCTGTCAGCCGCACACCAACATGCCTAATAGGAGAGCAGCATCGATGACTCCTTCCACATACGCTGACTTAATCGAAATAGACATGCCCTCATCATGTTCGTTGAACCAGCATTCTTTTCTGACCTTACACTCATTAGTAATCCATATATTTACGAACTCGTGCTGCACTCTTCTTAAATCATCTTGTGGTGTATCAGTCAGACTTTTCAGTTCACCGGAATGAAGACAAACAAATTCGATCAAATTATACTGCAAACAAGTGGATCCTTTCTTGATATGGAATTCAACTGAAACAGAATATAAAGAGAGCTAACAGTTCAATAGGATATCGGTGACAGGATGAAATGTAGAAACAAGGTTTCAGTATACAAGACAGTCGGTGGCAAAGTTGATTCTTTCGTTTGGAGGCAGTCATCCTAACAACTCCTGAACAGGGTAGTTCATCCTAGCCGCTCGTGTCAGGTAGGATGAAATTAGAAACAAGGTTTCAGTATACAAGACAGTCGGTGGCAAAGTTGATTCTTTCGTTTGGAGGCAGTCATCCTAACAACTCCTGAACGGAGTAGTTCATCCTAGCCGCTCGTGTCAGGTTTTGTCGGCTGTGATGAATTTTACACCAGTTTAATTGTGAACTGCGTTCGAACAAAGACATTGTTGCTTCGTTCCTATTTCTTCACAACACCTCAATCGAACATACGCTTATTCCCTTTTGCCTAAATCGTTGCATTATCCTGGCTTCAGTGCCGGAAACGAAGGGTTATTGTTACAGTTTCGCTGCCAGGGTAGCCGTATTTGGCATATCCCATCATTCCAGGTGGACGTTCGGTCTTCATATATGCTGTTTTACTCCTAGTCTTTATTAGGATTCTGTTCCATAGAACACTGTGTTTCGACAGTACAGTATGCTGAATTAATTGTTTTGTCTGTTTGTCTCTAGCTTTACCGACAAAAATAAGGTATACACTCTAGTAACCATACACTCATCACTAATACCTAAACAGGTGTGTTCGAGACTTTATCCCGCTTGTCAGTCGCTCTCACTTTCTCTGTTATGCTTTTAAGATCATTCTTTAATCCATCTCTTTTGTTTCAGTTCAGAAACTTAGTACAAAAACTAATCATCGAGCTTCTTGACTCCACAAAGAACGATCAATTGTCCATCCATCTGGCCACTCGCTTTGTAGACCTTGTAATCCCGACCATCCCGTTGAATACAGCATCGCTTTGGACCAGGCAGGTTCTCGGGGTTTGCGCGTGCGACTTACCCCAATCGGATTTGTTAACCAAGAGTAAACAGGATAGTTTGTTCCTCAAGTGGGCCACAATGTTGTCTATTTCGACTTTGAATCGTACGGACACATGCAGTCGTCTACAACCAGCTATTAACCCGTTGTTACTTTCTGACAAGGTGAGTGTTCCTTCGCGTCCACAATCTATTTTCCAACCGGAATAAGTTACAATATTGCAGCATAATTAAGGAGATAGCTAATGTGTGTGGCAGGTCAGTTGCTACCAGGAATGTTTGTCGACAGAGGGCTTTCGAAGTTTAACGACCCTTTGGGAGCTTTACGATTTTGAGTGATCGAAGCACATCTGGCTACGAAGAAAACCAATTTGAAGGAACAGTTGATCGTGCTGTTTCAACCTCCCAGCTCATGGTTAGAACGCGAATTTGCTGACCGTCGAGTCCATGGTTCGAATCCAACCTCTGCCTCTCGACTTCTCTTGTCTAGGCTTGGGCAACCTGGCAGTATCCCAGCCCTCGTGCTTCCTTTGGATTGGCATGGCACTAGGTACCAAAACGGTGTTATAACTGAACGATCATCTATTATATTATGAGTATTGCCTCTTATGTAAGGAGAAATATTGGAACTTCGATTGCTTATCACATAAGACGCCTTGTTTCATGTCCATCTTTTTGGCATTGTAATTTTTACTGGATACAGTACAATATGGTTTACAAATACCGGTGAAGACAATGCAATGAATGAGTAGACTGTCAATATGCATAATTTTTAACAGTTCATTGATGTCCTGTCATTTCCTATTCCGTCAACGAATACTTTACTGTAGTTTATCCCGGTGGTCTCCGTAGTCATGAGCGGTAACGGACAATCGTTGATGGTTTATTGGGTAAATCGGCCAGCAACTGAACAGATATCGCCAATTTTCACCAAGGAACGCGAACAAAGATGTCGAAGCTCGTAGCGGTTAAAGAACTTAAGGCAAACTATTCTCTTATTTCAATTGAATAGCAAAATAGAACCACTGTGTACACTTCTGTCGGTCCCAAGGTGATTTATCAAATAGGGTCAAGCACACAGCATGAATCAACCGAATTATTCGCCGAACTTCACTTATCCACACAGACGTGATTGCCAAACACTGCATGAGCTGTTAGCCTAAGGTAGTAAACCACTTCAAACCTGACCGTGAGTTGTAAATATCCTGTCGTCGCACCGCACTGTCATTAGTGCTATTATTATTATATTATAATATATATTATATTATATTATAATGTAATATATTATATTACGTTATATTATACAATATTATATTATATCATATTATATTATTATATTGTGTACCATCCTCACTGGCCATGTATTTTACTTTTATAGCTCGTACACAGGGGTTCGTAGTGAACCGTGTTGAAATAACAGCAATTGAGGCCATTGGCATTAGTCATTACAGAGTAGCGAACAAACTACGCATTTCGTGTTCTCGTGCACCCTGCTCTCCAATCGATTATGGTAAAGTATACCTCACGATCTGATGAAACCTGTGTGTATATTTTGCGCGACACAACCACGTTCATTGATACCAGTTACCTGAAACATCTTTTCGGAGGAATTCGACTTGGGCCTTAGTTTATTTTTCGTTCCAAATTAGTACTAAGTTCAGTATCACTTGATGCGCCACTTCATTTCTAGAGCTCTCCATGAGCAAACTGTTCTTGACATTTGATTTCGCCGCTACCTTTGGTGCCCAGTGGTTCCGTGACCCAATCCCACCTATTTGTATTCGGTTTCACTACATCTGTATTTATTCTTTGCTGCAGCCGGCAACGTGTACACTGATCCTACTTGCAAAGATAGGCGATCCCCATGACACTCCACAAGGACACTCTTAGTGAGCCGCACTTTATTTTACGGCACTCCTCTCCGAAGGGAGGCCTAAAATGCCATTTTGTTGCAGCACATGATTACTGCATATCATATATTAGTCTGACTTGTACCCGAGTGTTGTTTACTTTCCTTCGGTGACCATTCAAGACTATTAGTTAGGGTTCATTTCATAGATTTCGGTTGGTCTTCTAACTTTCTACCGGTGCCATGTTTCTGTATCCTCTGGTTCATCCTAGATCACACCATCGGCAGCTACTGCAGCGCTTAACCTTTGGAACTGGTTGTGTCACCTTGACATTGAAGACCTCTTGTCGATTGTCAGTTGGGTTCCGTGCGATATAGCCTCATCGGCTTCCTCTCACCACCCTGTCGACCTGTGTCCTCGGAGCATCGCTATCCATCCATCGTCCTCTGTGATACCAACTTTGGAACAGTCGTTGCTTCTGTATCGTTTGACTTCAATCCTCAAAAACCTACCAGTTCCAAGGTTAATCACTATGGTTGGGTGAGTTCGGTTACGTGAAATATGACTCCACCGCTCTTGTTAAACTTCTTTCTGTTCCTATTTCTAGTTGAACTCTGAAACTGGCCCAGATGAGCTAGATGACTGCAATACCCAAGTTGTTTCGCACACGAGTGCGTTCTAACCTAAGTGACGAGTCTGGACACGTTTTCGAATGAGCGTGTGTTTTGCGACCGCGATATCTTGTTTATGGCGAGGGATTAGGCTAGGAGATCTCGTGTGTAGTGTGTGACGACGTAGGTTTGACTTTGCAGACACTTCAATCCATAGTGGAGTGCATAGCGGTAACTCAGAGCCCTACGCGAGAATATATTCCATCTTAGATCAGTTGCATAGTCTCAAGTAACCTTAGCCGAGACTATAGTTCTCAAAAGTCAGGTGCGTAAACAACTAGAGTTCAGAGCCTGTGGATCGACTTTACAGACTGTATTTGTGTATCTTTTTTCTCTCATATGTGCTAAATAAGAGAGAGAGAAATCCGTTCCACCAAAGATCTCATGATCGTATCCTTTGAGCACACGTTAGTTCCGATCTTCACCAAAAGTTGGACACTTTGACAGGTTCATCAGTGATGAATTGCCCATATGCGTTTTCGTTAAATATTATGGGTAAGGCGAATTTCGGTTCGCTTTCTTCAGTGTTGTTGATATGCAAACCATATTAACAAGTTTGTTTTTCCAAGTCTGTGATCAGTGGGGTTTGACAGGTAGTAAACACTTCGGTTTTCACCATTCAACTGAGTATCACTCAGTCGCTTAGAATATCGTCCATTCTACCCCCACACCGACTTCCTTCTTCAAAAAGCATCTTGCTTCACACTAGATAAGCTTTTGATATAGCTTCATCTGCTATTCCACCAGGTGATTGTCCGTCCACTCAATCCTGTTTTCGGAAAAATTTTCTCTCTAGCTGCCAGTCTTCCAAACAGAATGTTGGTTGATGCGTGATCCCCTATTCATGCTTCTTCAAGTCAAAGTCATCTGCTTTAGCTCGTGCGATGCGTTTCTCTGCATCTTCTTGCTTAAAATTCCATTCAATTGTTCCTTGGTTTTGAGTCGTATTTGGTGCCTCAAGTTAACTATCCGGCTGCACCAAGTTCTTCCTGACGGAACTGAAGTACTTCTATGGAGGATGTACAGGCTGTGTGAATTGCTGAGCCGCTTCTGTCACTTACGGTATCCAGTTTTGTTTTGGTTGAGTCATATCATACTGTTCATCGACCTCATTTATCTAGTTTCAGATATCCCACTGGTTTGACTCTCGATTCAATTGTGTTAAAGCACCGGAAACTACCATCTGCTGGTCACAAACGACTTCCAAGTTTGACTCAAACTTTATCGGTCATACTCATGGCCTTTGTTCCGACCTGAAGCTCTCAGTGTGTCCTAATGGTCAGACGTCATTGTGTGTATGTTCCGGAGAAATATATTGCCTGGAACTCGGTTCCCCAGGGTTCAGAAAGTCAGCATTCTCATATTTACTCAAGTAGCGATGCTGCTTTCCCCCAAGGAAGTACGGGTTGGAAAAGGTCAACCCTAAAAGCCTCACTTCAATCGCCTAACGGTTGACCCTAAACCTCCGAGCATTATCCAATAAAAAATAATCTTCACTTGAACCCAATGCGGTCCCAAACTCATCTACTTTGTGTGACAGCATCAAGAGCCAAACACCTCTATTTTTCTCTCTGCATCCTCGGCAAGACCAGCCAAGTGGGTCAGGCTATTAAGTCACTGGTTCCAGGAAGGGTCTCCAAGGAGACTTTGATGACTGTTGCCTCGTGGTTAGAACTTTTGTGTCAAAGGCTAGGGAATTGTCGCTGAACAGAAACCTTTATCGTTTCACTGCTTTTGGGTTAGACTTGAGTCGAACGCTCAACCCAACCTTCTTCTGTGCCCTAAGCACAATCGCCACTACTACTCTTCATTCACCGACCATTTCTCAAATCCATCCCAACTAAGCGTTTCTGATTCATTTGTCTGTCACGTCAAACTCATACCCTGTAAAATAAGCAAACATAAATCCTCATTAAGTTCTGTCCCACGTTGCTGGTTTCAACGTCCGTACTGTGTATCAAGTTGTTCAACAGGTTTTTTCCTGTTTGGATCGATGTGTGATACGTTCCCAAACCACGAATACAATGCCCCAGTTCGGTCATACATCTTAAACCGCTAAGGGCAAACCAAAATTTAGGTTCAGGTAGAACATAAGGCTGACGGAAACTCGGTGACTGCGCCCACCTGATGAGCTCCAACAAGGGCGAACCCGGTCGTGGGCTGTCGAAGAGTTTTCAGTAAGCTTGTGAGTAGTCTTTTTTAAAAACCAAAATTACTTGCACTTTACTCTTCGGTAATCCCGATGCAATGACTCTCGGTATCCACGGTGCGGTAGTTGTGCTTAGCTTCAGAGTTAAACACGCTTTAGTGGATAGCTTTCAAGCAAACACTCGTCTTTGCACCGTCCGGTTGACTTTCTCAATCAAATTCAATATACCTCGGTGGGATAAACGGTGTTCTTTTGTCCTATCAGCATATGCTCCAATAGACGGCATCTCGAAAACTGGCTTCAGTCGAGATTTGTCGCAGTTGCTGCGGTCACCAAAGGTAAACATCGCAATTCTAGCAAGTGATTTGAATGCCCAGTTTGGCTGACTAAATCTAGAAGAAGCGCTCACTGTACGGCTATTGAAATGGGACTTCTTCAGTTACCTGCTGAACATCAATTGTCTTTAGACAGTACGTACTTTCAGCACCTCTTACCTTAAAGTTACCAACTACAAACCAAGCCTGGACCCATTTAGATCATTTGGTAGTCAGCTACTGGTGTGGAGCTTCGACTCAGGGTTGCCGTTGCACAACTTGTCTCTCACCACGGTCTTGTGCGAGCATATGTAGCTGTTCATTCCTGTGGAACGCACCGGTTGTTCAAGTCCATCCGGTTCATAACTTGAAATGGTGAAAGAATTCATGCTCACAGCCTTTATAACCGTCTGTTCGAGGTTGCTTGTACATCCCAGTGAACACTCGATCGGTAGCTTTCATTGATACTAGTAAAACTGTGCGAGGAACAAACGAACACGATAACTTTCTCGCACTGTACATCCCAGTGAACACTCGATCGGTAGCTTTCATTGATACTAGTAAAACTGTGCGAGGAACAAACAAGCACGATAACTTTCGCGGATCTCGCAAGTGCTGAATACTGAAGCGAGATGTTGGTAGAAACCAAAGTCTGCAGAAATGGATAATGTTTTTTATACGGAAAACAGTCGCACTATAATCTAGCTAATCAACTGGCCTGAGGTTGGGCGTTAGTTAAACGATCTCCGAAAAGGATGTGACCTCAATTTGTCCGCAGGAACGTCGTTTCAAACGACCGATTGAGCACGTCGAAGAACACTTCAGCCCCTATCAGCTCAGCCTGTGACATGATAATATGAACCTGAGTGGGACGTCGACAACAGTTTGCAATCGACAACGGAAGTGCAGCATGCAATTTCATTGCGTCTACGCAACAAAGCGCCTGGTGCAGACGATGTGCGCATGCACTCTCCAAAGTAGATTGCGACTCCTTTGCGACCAGTCTAACAGTTTTGCTCCAGAATATCTTGAATGGAGGTATAATACCGATAGAATGAAGCTTTTTGGCGGCGATTCCTGTATTTACAAAATGGTTCAGTGGTGCGCAAGCCACCGGCGGTGAATCTGCTCTCCATATCTTCAAACATCGTTGCAGTTCGAGTCACCATCAGAAGAGTCAGCTTCGTGAGAACAAAGCTAGGCTTCCCCCTAGTTTGCATTCATCATATCTTCGTTTTGCGGCGAGTGCTGGGACTCCGTTATTTTTTGGCGAACACTAGAGGTTGTTGTTTATCCGAATGCTGCTTTTGCTCTCACTGTTCGTCACAAACTATGGTAGTCTTGTAATGCGCCGGAATATTGGTGGCTCAGATGCATTCATCGGTAATTGCTTAGGTGGCCCTTGATCTGTTCACCGAGCTTGCCTTAGTTGCACATTCTCTGTAGTGGAGATTTGGAGTCCAGACTTCGGTCGTGATAATCGAATGTGTTGTGTCACCACTCCCGTTGTTCGCGCCACTAGTGAAAATATCGATGACACTCAACTAGTTTGGCAGTTGAGCATCAGAATTGTTGATTTGGATGTCTGTGTCGGTAGTCTAGAGTATTTTTACCATGTGGAGTGATGTGGTTGGATAGAAAGTTGACTAAGTGTGCAACATATTACAGGGGGTCCACTGAAGAGTAGACGGGCCTGTTCCAGTATTCTCCAAAGTCGTCATAATGTGTATCTATCCGGTGTGTCGAGATTACGGTGGGGTCGGGCTAAACCAATGATCGAATCCTGAACTAAGTGGTCGCATAAACGTGTGTCCCCCTTCGTGATTAGTTAGGTTGTTGGTATCCGTTCCTCGCAAATGATGTAGATCTGATGTGGAGGAAGCCTCGGCGATCTCACTTTCAACCCAGTCAGAGACAACTCAAAATCGGTCACTAAAACATCTTTGACTTTTCGTTGCTCTGACCGTTTTTGTCTAGTGACATGTTATTCGCGCCAGTTCCTTAAAGGTTTCCGCTTATTTTTCCTGCCTTTTCCCATTCCTAGCCATCCAACAGCCGGCCCATCTGACCAAGAGAGCACTGACCATATACATTTCCGGAAGCTCTGTGATGTTTTTGCTAATCGTCTTTGATGGCTTTCGCGCTTTATTTAACAATCTTACACCTGCCATTCGCAGCTGTTTATGTGTGATTATATACTTCCATTGAGATATCGCTCTAGCTTCTAGCTTGTTTTCTTCGTTACCATCGCTCCTATTTTCATTCTCTTATTTGTACCCAGGATTGGTCTCCTGTTAATTTTCTACGTACAGAGTATCATGGATGACGTGTTTTAATCTTTTTATGACTTTGCACCTTATTCGGACTGGGTTGGGTCTTTCAGGAACAAAATAATACCTTAATATATGGCTCATGCAAATTTCGAATTCCGACACCGATGGATGTGCAAGCACCAATGTGCAATCGCAGAGATTGCGATAGCGAACCTCGTTCGTAACCAACGGACGTATGCTCATTCCGGACAACACGCACTCAGTGTATTTGGGTGCATTTACCGTGTAGTCGAATATTTAAGAGCTGAGTTTTCTGATTCCTGATGTTTGACCAGTGCGACACCAAAGCTGCTTATATCATCAGGCTACCAAGCTCAGATGACCACTTTGACTCCACTCAGGGTGGACCGTTTGTCTGGAGAGCCGGCACGTCTCGTCCCTCCCTTCGGTTTCTTTCAAATTTCTCATGTTAGGGATTTTGTAATGCCTTCGCCGTGCTTTGAGTCGCGCGTTCACCCGCCACCCAGCTTACCACATCTATATAGCGGACCACTACTGGGTGTCAATTTCGTTAATGTAACATTCCCTAATGGTCCCAAACCTGTTTTTGGCCGTTATCGCGCAGGGACAGGAGAGGTGTGCGGCGTCGCCGCTTGTGGCCAGGACCCTTTCTCCACTAAGGACAGCGACCTGCGAGTTTCAAACTCGTCACCTACCACCCGGCTACCCAGAGTCATCAACCTGGAGATTTTGGAAATCATATGGACTGAATTGTTAGACAAGCATTATAAAGGGCACAGCCACATGATTTCCTGAATATCCAGTCCAGCCCGGAAATGAGTTGTTACCCTGCCTCGCCGTCCACAAAAACGGTCTCCAGCTCAGAGGTAATACAAGTCAGTGAGATATACAAGACGAATTTCCTCTCCAACCTCAATCGAAGGGAAGCCGATGTAGTCACACCAAGTGGCTGCGAAATGCCGGCTAGTTGAAAATGCATAACAGGTTCACCTTAATTTTTCACTTATCATAGCCTGTCGTCGATGATACCGGTAATGTGTCCGTCTAGTTAATGCTAAAGGCCTAAGCGCCCTAGGAACAAAATCGCTATATGGCAGGGTGATAACTGTTACTGAATGGAACTGCCCCCATGAATCGTTTGCGGAATTTTTATTTACCAGTCCACTGGCAAACCAGATACATCAGTCCCCACAACAATATAACATGAACTGGTCACGCGAGGTGTAAATTTTGGTGGTCAAAGTATGTACTTGTAGCTCGTGATGTGCAGTTGGCCTCTCAGTATTCGCCAAATGGAATAGATTTCTCGAAAGCAGCTGCGTCTTGAAGGTCACCGCTCCATAGCTAAAACAACCTACGCCTATTAGGTTATCCTGTAAATCGTCATTATGGCTTGCTTTTTTGTTGGGGTGACTCTTCAAGGTCATCTGTCACGTCAAATTGCAAAAAGGAGTATAACCATAATAGGACATCCCAACCTGAGGTGAAACGTGAATCACTTACGATGGACGAAATTACCAGGTATTTCTATAGCTACAATGATTTGTGAAACTTGCTAGAGCCCACACTGAACTGCTAGACTTTCAAACGACGCGGTTTCACTGTTGTAACCAAATGTGGCCTTGCATCTGTTGGTCGGATCTAATGAATGGCTGTTCCGTGCGATCGCCATTATAAAATCAATCATTATATTCGGAAATTTCTATTAGACACATGAACGCAAGTCTCCTGATCATAAGAAGCATTGACCGCTGGTCATGCTCCCTGGATTGCCTGATATCAGCGAGAAAGTATTCAGGTCGGCGGTGCCTAATCATGCAGCCACATGAAAACTGCGTCGAACTGAACGAACGTAGCTGACGCACGTGACTCATGTGCGGTCAGGGGTCCAGGATCTCCAATCAACTAATCACGTGGAACCCACGTAGAGCATAGCGGACGTACCCAGCTGACGCATACAACTAATATGGGGTCCACGATTCCTATTCGAACGGCCGACAACCTCCCATCCCTCTCCACCAAGAAAGTCGAATATCCAAACTGCACTAGATGAAAGGCTGAACCTCATCAGTCTTCTTTAATAGTACATATGTCCTGTTGGGGGGCGTATGGCCTAGGTAAGCAATGCTCAACGGCTGATTCGTATTGTGTTAATTTTTGTGGCTTACTGACTATTGGGCCTCAGGAAACGCCAGACTTACCTAAAATCTACCATATCTCATTAACAGACGAACAGTCTGGGACTGATGTGCCTACCATAGATCACACGAAATAATGGTCTGTTTCTTTCAACCGGCGCCCCACAATATTAGTACTAGTACTGTGCTATTAACACGCTATTATTGGTTAGCTCCCTCTTGGAGCCGATAATGCGGATGCACAAAGGCACCCTGCTAGGATTCTGTGCTTCGTTCTGGGTCAACATCATAAGATGGCTTCTTTGAGGAATGTTTAGTAAACGCACATGCGCCTTTTCTGGGGGGTACGCACCGAAAATAAATGGATCATCGGCGCAGTCGCCTTTAGGAGAAGCCTAAGGAGCGGAGCGGGTAAGGTTCATCATAACAATGGTGGACGTGGTAAAATACGCAATCCGTTGCAGTCAGCGGTCACTGCCACTAGTCGGTTGGTCACAAAGCACAAAAACCAAGTATGTTTTCCTAGACCGACATGTGGGTTCAGGCGCAGTATCCTCGTCCGCGACAGCAGTTCGTCAGGTGCAGACGTCGAGCCTCGGCCCAGCGAGATTTTCCCCTGAAACAATCAGCTGCTCATTGACGGCTGTGGCCGTCCTGGTTCCAGTTGTTTACGCAAACCGTATCAAGTTGGCAGTGTGGCTTAGAAACGACTGCAAGTGGATGACACTTTTCTGATGGCTTGTAATCTGACAATCAGCACTGATAGATGGGGAAGCAGCATAAGAAAACATCTATGAGTAATACTTATTACCGCTTGGAACCGACTAGTCTCGAAATACGGAAAACAACTGGACGCGGGAGAAGAGGCACATTCTTTGACTAACATGGACGTCGCTCTCCAGGATTTCCTGTCGGTCGAATTGGTTTGATCTCATTTTCCCGAATGAGCCACTCGTAGTGCCGGGACACCCTCCTATGACATGAGTCAGTATGTCTGGATGGGTCATCCGGTTTTGAGATGACAGTTTGCGTTCTCTAGATGGTTGTTGGCCACATTACCAAAGTGGACCATCTCTGATCGTACGTACACTAGTTATGTACAGCCAGAGGTCATAGGGCAAGGGCGAAGCAGCAGTTGCAGGTCATGTTGGAATCTGTGTTAGCATTATGGTAAACGAAAATCCTATTGTACAACGTTGTATATGCAAGCCATACGATGGAATATGCGCTGGCTGTTCGTAGTGTGTATTTGACCAAAATATATGGACGTTACATGATACACATGTGCTTCCAAATAGCTTCTCGAACATGGATGCAGCAAACCATTGCATCGCAGCAGAACACTACTCTCTCTGTCTGCGTACGTGTCGCTACCTTCTCCATCACAAGCGTTTTCACGGAGTACTTTTCACTCATCATTTCACTTGAGAAATCCTAATAGTTTACGCATGAGAGCAAGACGTTCGCTTTCCATGAAGGCCTACATAACAGGACGTCCAGTATCCATGCCCTCCGTGATCAGCAAGACGTAGATCCTTTATCTGCGGGTGAGATATGAGTTGCTTAAACAAGACTCACTCAAATAGGCTTGTTGCGTGTTCCGCCAATAATTACGACATACGAGAACAGCGCTATGTGTTACCATCTGGCGAAGAATATGTGGCCGCAGTGACCTACCACCGACACCAACACAAGCACACGTCCGGACTCGCGAAGCTTTCCCAAGGCTGACGGCATATTGTATGCTGTAATAAAACCCAACTATGCGCCACTTACTCAACAGGGCAAGCTGACACTTCTGGCGGTAGTCGTATACGTCAATGACCTTGCCGAATTCATCGGTCACAGACTACCGCATTTCACACGATACCAAGTAATACTTTAGCGGGGTCCTGCAAGGAGCAAGCTCCTCTTCTGCTGGCAATGGATTCACAGGAGGTTGATGGTGCAAAAACTTGAAAACATTATGATTGTGTTTCAGATGATGAGAGGTGGCTATAAGATGGTTCGTATGTCCTTAGAAAAAGCTAACCGGACGGTCGGTGCTGCGTGCACTGCGTTTTATCAACAAATGCTCTCTGCTTACTACTTCTTTTGGATTTCTTGTCTCTCCGTTGGCTTGGCTAGTCGCCTGCTGCATATGCAGCATGCCTACTCCTAGCACGAAATCACGTTGGAGTTTTATTTACGCGCAGCACACATGGATACCACGCAGTTTCCCTTCATGTATTCATTTTACGCTCCCTCAAATGCCGTAAACATTGAAGACCGGACTGAAGCCAACTTCTCAACAACCTCAACTGAGACCATGACTGAAACCGGCCGTGGGCTAGACGCACGCCGAAAATTTCTCTGAAACTGTGGTTCAAAGGAAGAAAAATTTGACATAAAGTTTTAACATTTGATGGTAATTTTTCGGGCGTATGAGATCTTCCCAAACGGCCGCAGTTTTGTTGAAAGTTGTTTAAATCTACTCAATCCACACGATATTCAAGACCCGGGATATTCATATTTTAAATGAAAATGGCTGCTACGGCTGAGCACATGAATGCGGAGAATGATTTTGTGGGAAATTTAGCTCGTCAAAGTTTTTTCTCTTTCAATGCATTTCAAGCCGCTTTGAAAGAGTACCAGACAAAACATTTGGTTGTTTTCGTCCGTATAGACTCCAAAAAGAGCAGCAATTCGCTACTTTTGTATGAAAAAGCCTCCTACCGTTGCAGCAGACATCCCCGCAGACGAAGCAGAAGCCGTGGAATTCGTCGCACCTAGTAAGTTAATGGTTGACTGTGTATACGTTGCAGCACACGTCGTACTGATTGTCCGGCAAGGTTCCACGTTCGCCGGAAAATGCTACGTGCAACATGTCACGGGAAGCTGCAAATTGATT